ATTCAAACAATTGGGTGTGTACAGCCATGCAATAATAGGCATGTGCGACACGCGGTGCCGTCTCAACATACGTTTGACATTTTTAACAAGGTTCCTCTTGATCAAACATTAACTTACTATACTATAAGGATGCTGGACCAATTTGGTGCCATTCGCAGCAATTGGTAGGAAGTTATGGTGTTCCAAACAACCGAGTAGCCAAAATTGTGCAAGGATATGCCTCTGCGATACATGGTGCCGTCTCGACATCGGTCTGTCATTTTTAACAAGGTTTCTTTTGATCAAACATCCACTTACTATATTGTAACGATGCTGGACCGATTTGGTGCCATTCGTAACATCTGATAGGAAGGTATGGTGTTTCAACCAACCAAGCAGCAAAAACTGTGCAAGGATAGGCCTGTGTGACACGCGACATCGGTTTGTCATTTTTAACAAGATTTCTCTTGATCAAACATTCATTTACTAAATTGTAAAGATGCTGGACCGATTTAGTGCCATTCGCAGCATCTGGTAGGAAGATGTGGTGTTTCAAACAACTAAGTAGCGAAAACTGTGCAAGGATAGGCCTGTGTAACACGCGGTGCCGTCTCGATATCGGTTTGTCATCTTTAACAAGGTTTTTCTAGATCAAACATTTATTTACTATATTACAAGGATGCTGGACCGATTTGGTGTCATTCGCAGCATCTCGTATCAAAATATTGTGTTTTAAACAACTGAGCAGCGAAAACTGTGCTAGGATAGGCCTGTGCAACACGCGGTGCCATCTCGACATCAGTTTGCCATTTTTTGTCAAACTTATATGCTATTGTCTGTTTAGGCTGTAGTGGGGTGGTTCCTATGGGGTACAACATTTCTAGGTTTTCCTACTTGTACCCACCCCTTTCCTAGTTCATTCACTCTTGTTCATTATGACATGGTATTACGAGCCTAGGTTAGGAACCTAGGACCGACTACTACTACGGGCCCGCCGTTCCGCTAGAAGCGCCCTCGTGCGCCTTAGTGTCAAACATTATATATGTTACTGCTGTGTAGGCTACAGTGGGTTAGCCTTTAGGGGGTACATTTCTCTAGGGTTTCATACTTGTACTCCAAATGTTTCTAGTTCATCACTTCTTGTTTTTGACATGGTATTAAGAGCGTAGGTTTAGACCTAGGATCGCTTACCTAAGGGCCCACCTTCCGCTAGAAGCGCCCTCGAGCGCCTTAATGACTTAGCGCCCTCGAGCGCCTCTCTCCTAGTGCGCCCTCGTGCGCCTCTCCTTCTCCTGCTGCCCGTGCGCAGCTCGCTAGTGCCGCGCGCGGCCTTTTTTTTTTTTTTAGCGCGCGTAGCCCGCTAGCAGCCCGCGCGCGGCCTCTTCTGCGCGCGCGCCGACCGTTAGCCGCCCGCACGACCAGCGCCGCCCACGAGCAGCCCGCTAGCCGCCCGTCGACCGGCCCTTCTGGCCGTCCAGAGCGTCGCAGCCCCGCCCGTAGGCCGCCACGTCGCCCTCGTAGGCCGCCGCCCGCGCGCGACTGCAGCCCACGCACAACCGCGGACCGCCCGCTACAGCCGCCCCAGCGCAGGCCCACCGCTGCGCCGTGCCGCGTAGCCTAGTCCGAGCCGCGCCGCGCCGCCCTGCTCGAGTCGCGCCGCCCGAATCGCGCCGCCCTGACCGAGCCGCGCCACCCCACCTGCTACTGCTACTACTGCTACTGCTACTGCTACTGCTGCTACTGCTACTGCTACTGCTGCTACTGCTACTACCACTATGGCCAGTCCTACTGTTCTCACCTTTGACGCTAAGGGCCGACCGATTAAGTTTGATGTCTGGCTCGATGACCTGCACCTGTTCCTCCAGATCACTGCCAAGGACGACGTTTCCCTGTATGACCACACGTCCGGCGCTGCTCCCGCACCTGCTGCTACGGCTGACAGTACTGCTCGCTCACAGTGGCAGACTCGTGACGCTCATGCTCGCCTAGCCGTTCGCAGCCACCTGCCGTTAGATGAGCGCGAGCACTTCGGCCAGCATAAGACCGCTAAGGAGCTGTATGATGCTGTAGTTGCCCTCTACTCCTCCCTTGCTACTGCTGCGATAGGCCGTCTCTCGCTGCCCTATCTCTTCCCGGATCTGTCTGCCTTCGCCACTGTAGCTGACCTCATCACTCACCTTCGTACTAGTGATCTTCGCTACCGTGCCGCGCTCCCCCCCGACTTCCTAGCCAGGAACCCTCCCCCGATGTACCTCACCCTCTACCACCTCGTCACTCGCCTCCCTGACTCTCTCCGCTCTGTCAGGGACCACTTTCTTGCTCTCTCACCCACCGATCTCACTGTCGACCTGCTCGAGAAGGAACTCCTTGCAGCCGAGAACAGCATTGTAGCTGTAGGAGCCTCTCGTGGTGACCCTCGCACTCCCTTCTTTGAGGGATGTTCCCCCTCCCCCCTTCTCCCCTCCATTGCATCTGCTGCTGCTGTCGACATCCTCGGTGCTGAGGGGGCCGGAGCTGCGTTCGCTCCCAGTGGGAGGCGCAAGGGCGGCAGGGGCAAGGGGGGCCGGGGTGGTGGAGGTGGCGGCGGGGGAGGTGGTGGTGGAGGGGGTGGAGGGGGCGGCGGCGGTGGCGGCGGTGGTGGGAGTGGTGCTGGTGGTGGGGGGGTCAGTGGCGGAGCCGGGGGTGGTGGCGGCGGCGGTGGTGGAGGTGGCGGGGGTGGTGGTGGCAGCGGCGGCGGCGGTGGAGCTGGTGGCGGGCGCGGTGGAGCAGTGCAGCGTGGCGGGTTCGGCGGGTGCCAGAGGCAGCAGCAGCAGCGTCCCAGCGAGCCCCAGTCGCCCCAGCAGCTCCGTGAGTGGTACTCTCAGCGTGGGGGGTCTGGGGGTGGAGGTACCTGCCTGTACGTCATCCGCATAGGTGACCGCACTGGCCAGACCTGTGGGAGGTTTCACACGGCGCAGCGCTGTTTCTTTCGCCTTGACGACGCCTGGCGCGAGCAGTTTCCTGACGCCTCTGAGCTGCCCCGCTGAGCTGATCTGCTTAAGAAGGGAATTGATATCTTTGCTCTTGATTATGATGCTATCCTTGCTGCTATGTATGCATTGACTATTAGTGTTGAGGGTGACTGTTACCTGCCTGTACCGCCCGACCCGGGTATTGGGACCAGTGAGGCTGCAGCTCTAGGTGCTCGTGCGTCTGCTGCCCTAGGTCCTGGTGAGGCTGCTGCTCTAGGTACTAGTGCGTCTGCGTCTGCTGGTACCGCGTCTACTGAGGAACTGCACACCTTCACACTGGACTCAGGTGCTTCCCGCTGTTTCTTTCGCGACCGCACTGCCCTAGAGCAGCTTCCTAGACCAGTTGCTGTCTCCCTAGCTGACCCCTCAGGGGGTCCGGTCCTTGCGACCTCCACCACTGCCCTCCCCTGTCCTGCTGTCCCGTCTGGCACGCTGTCGGGTCTTTACCTCCCCTCGTTCTCTACGAACTTGGTGGCGGGCTCTGCTCTCCAGGATGGGGGTGTTCACCAGTTCACCCCTGCCTATGAGCGTGTGACCCACTGTACGTGTGCTCGGATGGGTCGCAACCTGGCTACCTTCACTCGGCAGCCGAGGTCGGACCTGTACACACTGACCACTGAGTCCCCTCAGGTAGCTGCGTCTGCGTCTACGTCAGGTCAGCTGTCGGCCCCCTGCTCGTGTCGCTCCCTGTCGCACCAGACCGTCCTCTGGCACCACCGCCTTGGTCACCCGTCAGTGCAGCGCCTTCGTGGCATGCACTCCCGGTACCTTGTCTCTGGTCTTCTCAGGGTTCTCCCTCCCCTCCCACCCTCGCCTGCTCCTCCCTGTCTTCCCTGTGTCGAGGGGCGGCAGCGCGCTGCTCCTCACTCCTCCTCGTTCCCTCCCACAGAGGCTCCCCTGCAGACTCTCCACCTGGACGTGTGGGGCCCAGCCCGCGTCCGGGGACAGGGCCACGAGTGGTACTTTCTGCTGGTCGTCGACGACTACACGCGCTACACCACGGTCTTCCCCTTGCGTACCAAGGGTGAGGTCCCTGATGTCTTGATCCCTTGGATCCGCGCTGCTCGTCTCTAGCTCCGCAAGCGGTTCCAGTTGGACTTTCCTGTCCTGCGTCTGCACTGTGACAGAGGTGGTGAGTTTTCCTCTGACCTCTTGGCAGCCTACTGTGCGGAGCACGGCATCCGCCAGACGTTCACTCTTCCGGCCTCTCCGCAGCAGAATGGGGTTGCTGAGCGCCGCATTGGTCTAGTCATGGAGGTCGCTCGTACCTCCATGATCCATGCGGCTGCCCCCCATTTCCTGTGGCCGTTTGCAGTGCAGTACGCCGCGCATCAGCTCAACCTCTGGCCCCGTGTCTCCGTTCCGGAGACCTCGCCCACCCTGCGTTGGACGGGGGAGGTTGGCGATGCGTCGGTGTTCCGAGTCTGGGGATGTCGAGCCTTTGTCCGCGATACGTCCGCGGACAAGCTCTCCTCCCGTGCCGTTCCCTGTGTCTTCCTTGGCTTTGTCCCTGACGCGCCTGGCTGGCAGTTTTACCACCCCACCTCGCGCCGTGTCTTCCCCTCTCAGGATGTCACCTTTGACGAGTCGGTACCCTTTTACCGTCTCTTCCCCTACCGCACTGCCCCACTCCCCCCCCCGCTGCTCTTCCTCACCCCAGGTGTCCCGTCGGTAGACCCCCTCCCTCCCCAGGGTGCTGCTCCCTCAGGTGTTTCCCAGGTAGACCCGGTCGAGCCTGTCGAGGTAGCTGTTGACTCTGGTCCTGCGCGAGGTGCTGAGCGTGCTGAGCCTGGTGGTGCTGGGTCTGGGGGTACTGAGACTGGGGGTGCTGAGCCTGGGGGTGCGGAGACTGGGGGTGGTGAGTCTGGGGGTGCGGAGACTGCGGGAGGTGAGCCTAGGGGTGCTGAGCCTGGGGTTTCTGCGACTGGGGGTGCTGAGCCTAGAGGAGCTGAGGCTGGGGGTTCTGAGACTGACCGTACTACGCCTGTTGGCGCTCCCTCTTCACAGCAGCTGCGTGAGTGGTACTCCCAGAGTTACAACCTCCGTCGTGGGGCTACTGGAGCTGGGGGATCTGCTGGAGTTGGGGCTGGTGGCCCTGCGGGTGCAGTGTCGCAGCCGGAGCCTCCCTCCCCTCAGCGGCTACGTGAGTGGTATGCTCGGCGCTGCAGCCTCCGGAGTGGAGCTCCTGGTGTTGAGGTGCCGCCCGCTGGAGGCCCTGCTGCTACTGGAGGTCCTGGAGCTGCTGGAGGTGCTACTGGTGCTGGTGCTGCTAGAGGTGCTACTGGTGCAGCTGGTGCTGGTGCTGCTGGAGGTGCTACTGGTGCTGCTGGTGCTGGTGCTGCTGGAGGTGCTGCTGGTGCTGCTAGAGGTACTGGAGCTGCTGGAGGTGGTGCCGGTGCTGGTCCTGCTGGAGGTGCTGCTGGTGCTGCTGGAGGTCCTGGAGCTGCTGGAGGTGCTGCTGGTGCTGGTCCGGCTGGAGGTTCTGGTGCTGTCTCTACTGGTTCTGGGGGCGCTTCACGGCCGCGGCCGTACTTCGTTCCGCTCCTTCAGCAGGTTCTTGGTCAGCTGCCTCCTCCTGGTCCTCCTCCCTCCTTAGAGTGTCCTCCGCCTGTCCAGTCGCAGTCACAGCTACCGCGTGCCTCGCCACTTCCTGGTCCTTCTCCCTACACTGGTCCGACAGGCGGTCTTACAGAGCGTCGTGAGCCTGAGTCTCGTACTGTGTCGCCTGAGTCTCGTCCTGCGTCACCTATTCGTGCTGCTCGCACTGGTCGCCGTGTTCCGCGTGAGCGTCCTCCACCTGTCCCTGGCACACACTATATGACTCTACGTCCTTCCACTGCTCCACAGCGTGTCCCTCTGCCGTCTCCTCCTGCGTCCTCTCTTCCTGCCCTTGCTGACCCGGAGTCTGACTCTCTTCGTGCTGCTAGTCCTACTGTCAAGCGACTGCTCGCCACAGTTGTCATTGACCCTTCCTTTGAGTCCGCTGCTGCGTCTGCCTTGGTTACTGAGCTTGTCGACTTTGCTGCTCACTGTCGTCTAGACTACGCTGCGAGTCTTGTTGCTGAGTCTGAGTCTGTCTGTCCTCCGTCCGTCGGGGGTGAGTGTGCTCTTGGCACAGACGTCCTTGAGGACAGGCAGGAGGACTTTGAGTGCTTTGCCGCTGCTGTACCTCATCTCGTGTCCATGCTGATTGCACCTGAGGGAGACCCGGATGCTCCAGACATCCCGACCCCACGCTCTTATGCTGAGGCGATCGCGGGTGAGTACTCCTCTTAGTGGCAGACAGCCATGGATGCAAAGATGGCATCCGGGAAGTCCACTGGCACTTACGTTAACGAGGTTCCCCCTCCTGGGGCGAACATCGTCAGTGGCATGTGGATTTTCAGGGTGAAGCGGCCGCCGGGTTCTCCGCCTGTCTTCAAGGCTCGTTACGTTGCTCGAGGCTTCAGTCAGCGAGAGGGAGTAGACTTCTTTCAGACCTTCTCCCCCACCCCGAAGATGACTACTCTTCAGGTGCTACTGCACGTTGCCGCTCAGCGTGACTACGAGCTTCACTCTCTTGACTTCAGCACAGCTTTCTTGCAGGGCAGCCTGCACGAGGAGATCTGGCTGCGCCGCCCTCCTGGCTTCACTGGGTCGTTTCCTCCTGGTACCCAGTGGAGCCTCCGGCGGCCGGTCTACGGTCTCCGCTAGGCGCCACGTGAGTGGCACGACACACTGAGGACTACACTTGCAGCTCTTGGGTTCGCACCTTCCACTGCTGACCCGTCGCTGTTTCTGCGCACCGACACTTCACTGCCGCCGTTCTACATCCTCGTGTACGTCGACGACTTGGTCTTTGCCACTGCTGACACTGAGGCTCTCGCCCACGTGAAGTCCGAGCTGCAGAAGAGACACACGTGCACAGACCTGGGTGAGCTGACAAGCTATCTTGGCTTGCGGATCACCCGGGACAGAGCACGCCGCACCATCACACTGACTCAGTCACACATGGTGCAGCAGGTCCTTCAGCGCTTCGGCTTCACCTGGTCCTCACCACAGCCGACTCCTCTGGCTACAGGTCACTCGCTCTTAGCTCCACCTTTGGACGAGTCCGTAGAGCCGAGTGGTCCTTACCCAGAGCTAGTTGGCTGCCTCATGTACCTGATGACTTGCACTCGTCCTGACCTCGCGTACCCTCTTGGCCTTCTGGCTCGCTACGTGGCTCCTGGTCGGCACCGAAAGGTGCACATGGATGCTGCTAAGAGGGTACTGCGCTACTTGTGTAGTACGTCAGGCATGGGGCTCGTGCTTGGAGGGAGGAGCTCAGTTGTTCTCACTGGGCACTCAGACGCTTGTTGGGTTAACGACCAGGCTACTCAGCGGTCGTCACAGGGTTACACCTTCAGCCTTGGCTCTGGTTCAGTTTCTTGGCGTTCTACTCGCTCGTCTTCGGTTCTCAGCTCCAGTTGTGAGGCTGAGATCTACGCCACAGCCATGGCTGCACAGGAGCTACGCTGGCTGACCTACCTGCTGACCGACTTGGGAAAGCGGCCTCGTTCTCCTCCAGTGCTGTACGTCGACAACAAGGCCGCCATTGCCTTGTGTGAGGAGCACAGACTGGAGCACAGAACGAAGCACATCGCTCTGCGTTACTTCCTGGCTCGAGAGCTGCAGCAGCGTGGTCAGCTTCGTCTGCGTTACGTGGCCTCTCAGGCCAACACCGCTGATATATTCACCAAGGCACTTCAGTCTGGTGATCATCAGCGCTTCTGCACTATGCTGGGACTTGTGCCCACTTTTCCTCACTTGCTGTAGGCTTTGCCTGTACTGTGATCTCTATATATCTATACCTGCTTGTTTGCTTTGCTAGGTCGAGATCACTGTGTTGTTTGTACTGCATATATGCCTCTGCATGTGAACTGGCCTTGTGGCCCTTTGCTTGTGCTCAGAGTGTGTGGTGACGTTGTGATCCACCCTGAGCTTGCTTTGTCTTTCTTGACTGGTCCTGTGACCCCTTGCTCTCCCCCACTGAGCCTATGGGGGTGTGTCAAACATTATATATGTTACTGCTGTGTAGGCTACAGTGGGTTAGGCTTTAGGGGGTACATTTCTCTAGGGTTTCATACTTGTACTCCAAATGTTTCTAGTTCATCACTTCTTGTTTCTGACACGCGCCCTCGTGCGCCTCTCTCTGCTCGTGCGCCCTCGTGCGCCCCGCCCCTAGTACTGCCCGCGCGCCGTCCACTCACCGCGCGCGCGCAGTTTGCTAGCCGCCCACGCGCAGCCAGCTAGCCGCCCGAGCGCAGCCCGCTAGCCGCCCGCGCGCAGCCCGCTAGCCGCCCGCGCAGCCAGCGCCGCCCGTGCGCAGCCCGCACCGGCCTCGCGCGGCCCTACGCTCAGCCCGCGAGCTGCCCGCTGGCCGGCCCTGCTGGCCGTCCCGCGCGCCGCAGCCCCGCACGTAGGCCGCCACCTCGCGCCCGTAGGCCGCCGCCCGCACTACGCCGCCGCCTCGCACGGCCGCTGCCCGCACGCAGGCCGCAGCCCGCGCGCCGCGGCTGCTCGCACGCCGGCCGCTGCAGCCCGCGCACAGCCGCCGCCTACACGCAGCGGTGGCCCGCTCGCAGCCGCAGCCTACGCGCAGCCGCAAACCGCGCGCAGGCCCGCCGTCGCGCCGCCCTGCCTGCCCGAGCTGCGCCGCGCCGCCTTGCCCGAGTCGCGCCGCCCTACCTGCCCGAGCCGCGCTGCCCTGCTGTGCAGCACTGCCCCACCTGCAGCAACTGCTGCTCCTGTTCCTGCTGCTACTGCTGTTTCAGCTGCTCCTGCTGTTCCTGCTGTTCCTGCTGCTACTGCTGCTACTGCTACTACTGCAACCATGGCTAGTCCCACCGTTCTCTCTTTCGATGCTGAGGGCCGACCGATTCAGTTTGATGCTTGGCTCGACGACCTGCACCTGTTCCTACAGATCACTGCTAAGGACGATATCTCGTTGTATGATCACGCGTCCGGAACCGCTCTAGCGCCTGCTGAGACTGCTGACAGTAGTGCTCGCTCACAGTGACAGACTCGTGACGCTCACGCTCGCCTAGCCATTCGCAGCCACCTGCCGTTAGATGAGCGCGCGCATTTTGGCCAGCATAAGTCTGCTAAGGCGCTGTACGATGTTGTAGTAGCACGCTACCCCTCGCCTGCCTCTGCTACGATCGGCCGTCTCTCGCTGCCCTATCTTTTCCCCGATCTGTCCGCATTTCCCACCGTCGCTGACCTCATCACCCACCTCCACACTAGTGACACACGCTGCCGTGCCGCCCTTCCTGCTGAGTTTCTCGCCAAGAACCCCCCACCGGTGTACCTCACTCTCTACCACCTCGTCACTCGTCTCCCTGACTCTCTTCGCGCAGTCAGGGACCACTTTCTCGCCCTCTGCCCCACCGAGCTCACCGTTGACCTGCTCGAGAAGCACTTGCTTGCAGCTGAGGCTAGCATAGTCGCTGTAGGTGCCTCTCGTGGCGACCCCCGCACGCCCTTCTTTGAAGGGTGTTCCCCTTCCCCCCTTCTCCCCTCAGTCGCCTCTGCTGCTGCCGTCGACTACCTTGGAGCTGAGGAAGTCGGGGCTGCGTCTGCTTCTAGTGGGAGGCGCAAGGGCGGCAGGGGCAAGGGGGGCAAGGGTGGTGGGGGTGACGGTGGGGGAGGCGGTGGTGGAGGCGGTGGCGGCGGTGGGGGCGGTGGCGGTGGTGGGGGTGGTGGCGGGGCTGGGGGAGTCAGTGGCGGCGGCGGGGGTGGTGGCGGCAGCGGTGGTGGAGGTGGCCGGGGTGGAGGCGGTGGTGGTGGCGGCAGTGGGCGTGGTGGCGGCGGCGGGGGTGGTGGTCGGGGTGGACCGGCGCAACGTGGAGGTTCTGGTGGTGTCCAGCGCCAGCAGCAGCGTTTTGGAGAGACCCCGTCGTCCCAGCAGCTTCGTGAGTGGTACTCTCAGCATGGGGGGTCTGGGGGTGGAGGTACCTGCCCGTATGTCATCCGCACAGGTGACCGCACTAGTCAGACGTGTGGGAGGCCCCACACGCAGCAGCGCTGCTTCTCCCGTCTCGACGATGCCTGGCGTGCACAGTTCCCTGACGCCTCCGAGCTGCCCCGCTGGGCTGATCTGCTTAAAAAGAACATTGATATCTTTGCTCTTGACTTTGATGTTATCCTTGGTGCCATGTATGCATTGACTATTAGTGTTGAGGGTGACTGTTACCTGTGTGTCCCGCCCGACCCGGGCATTGAGACCAGTGAGGCTGCCGCTCTAGGTGCTAGTGCGTCTGCTGCCCCATGTCCTAGTGAGGCTGCTGCTCTAGGTGCTGGTGAGTCTGCTGCTTCAGGTGCTCGTGAGTCTGCGCCTTCAGGTACTGCGTCTACTGAGGCACTGCACACCTTCACACTGGACTCAGGTGCTTCCTGCTGTTTCTTTCGCGACCGCACTGCCCTCGCACAGCTCCCTAGGCCTGTTGCTGTCTCCCTGGCTGACCCCTCCGGTCCGGTCCTTGCGACCTCCACCACTGCCCTCCCTTGTCCTGCTGTCCTGTCCGGCACGCTGTCGGGTCTTTACCTCCCCTCGTTCTCTACGAACTTGGTGGCGGGTTCCGCGCTCCAGGACGCGGGTGTTCACGAGTTCACCCCTGCCTATTAGCGCGTGACACACTGCACGTGTGCTCAGACGGGTCGTCACCTGGCTACCTTCACTCGGCAGCCGGGGTCAGACCTGTACACACTGACCACTAAGTCCCCTCAGGTAGCTGCGTCTGCGTCTGCGTCAGGTCAGTTGTCCGCCCCCTGCTCGTGTCGCACCTTGTCGCACCGGACGGTCCTCTGGCACCACCGCCTTGGTCACCCTTCGATGCAGCGCCTTCGTGGCATGCACTCCCGTTACATTGTCTCTGGTCTCCCCATGTCACTGCCTCCCCTGCAACCGTCCCCTGCCCCTCTCTGCCTTCCCTATTTCAAGGGGTGGTAGCGTGCCGCCCCTCACTCCTCTGAGTTTCCCCCGACGGAGGCTCCTCTGCAGACCCTTCACATGGACGTATAGGGCCCAGCCCGCGTTCGTGGACAGGGCGGAGAGCGCTACTTTCTGCTGGTAGTTGACGACTACACGCGTTACACCACGGTCTTCCCCTTGTGCACCAAGGGTGAGGTCCCTGATGTCTTGATCCCTTGGATCCGCGCTACCCGTCTCCAGCTGGAGAGGCGCTTTCGCACGGACCTTCCCGTCCTGCGACTGCACTCTGATAGAGGTGGTGAGTTTTCCTCCGTCCTCTTGAGAGCCTTCTGTCAGGGGGAGGGCATTGAGCAGACGTTCACGCTTCCGGCCTCTCTGCAGCAGAATGGGGTTGCTGAGCGCCACATTGGCTTGGTCATGGAGGTCGCTCGTACCTC